CCAGCCTGAGGGCCAGCACACAACTGCGCTCGCCACCGCATGGCTCCCCCTGCACCGGAGGCCCTCCTTCCCGGCACCTAGGAAGCAGGGAGTGAGCCAGCCCGAAGACCGGCGCTCTCCACCCCCACCTGTCATAATTTTAATTCCTTCTTTCTCATCTCACCATTTTGTATTCTTATTCCCACTTTGGAATGTTCTTTGATTTGAACTCCTACTTGATCCATTTTCTATTTCCTTATTTTTTTCTGTCCTATGTATTGTAGTATTATTTCCTGCTGTCTCAGAGATGGTTTTCCAACATTATCTTTCAATTGCTCAATTGTATCTTTAAATTTTCTACTACATTTTAAATTTCAGAGACCTCTTTGGTTTCCTAGGAATTTATATTAATGGCCTCCAGTACTTGTTTCATTGCTCTTTGAAAAAATTCAGTTTTTTAATGTTTTGTCCACTCCTTAAATTGTTTTTGTTTCTTCCAAGTTACCTTTTTAAAAGAAGTTCAATGTTTTTGTCTCTATGTATATCTTACAGGCTTTCCTGAAACATCTGATAATCTCACACATTGCAGATACAGGAATGTTCACTTACCAATACAAAAACTATGCACAAAAAACCTGCAACTACATTATACTCATTGTTCAAAATCTGAAGGCTTTTACTCTAAGATCAGGAACAAGATAAGGTTATCATTTTCACCACCTCTACTCAGTACTCAAGTTCTAACCAGAGAAATCTGGGGAGGAAAAGAAGTGAGACATCCAAATAAGAAAGAAAGAAGTAAACTTGTTTCTGTTTGCCAATGGTGTGATTTTGAATGAAGAAAACCCTGATGATTCCATTCACACAAAAACTGTTAGAACTAATAAAAAATTCAATCCAGTTGCAGATTATAATTTCAACATGTGAAAATTAGTTGCACTACTATACAATAAACTGAAAATTTCAAAATGAATTAAGAAGCTGAGCATGGTGATGCATATCTATAATCCCTGCACTCTGGCAGGCTAAGGCAGAAGAATCACAAGTTTGACCGCAGTCTGGGGAATTGGGCAGTTTAGCAATTTTGCTGGGCCTTGTCTCAAAATAAAAAGTAAGGCAAGGGAGGGCTGGGGATGTAGCTCAGTGTGAAGGCGCTACGTTCAATTCCCAGTGCCACAAAATGTAAGCAGTCCATTTACAATAGGGTAAAAATATGTTAGGAATAAACTTAACTGAAGGAGTAAAAAACTTGTGTTGAAACCTACAAAACATGATTGACATAAACTGAAGATAGCAGAGCTAAATGGAAAGCTATCCCATGACATTTCTAGAATGTCTATACTTTTAATAAGTTTACCCTGTTCAAAGTGATATACAAATTCAAAGAACGCTCTATAAAAATTTCCATGACTTTTTGTTGGAATAGAAAAAAAACTTACCTTAAAATTCATATAGACTCTCTGAGGATTCTGAGTAGTCAAAACAATTTTGAAGAAAAACAAAACCGGGGGCATCATACTTTCTAATTTTGAAAAAAATATATAAAGTTACATTAATCAAAATAATGTGGTACTGGCATTAAGACAGACCAAGAGAGCAGAACAGGATGCCCAGAAATAAATTTTCAGATTAGGATCACATGGTCCTCAACTGGTCAAATGGTCTTCAAAAAACCACCACTGCTACACAGTGAGTAAAGTATGTACTTGTCAACAAATAGTGTTAGGAAAACTAGATTTCCTCATGCAACATACAGAAAACAGACCTTTTCCAGCTTTGTACAAAAACAACTCAATGGGTAAAAGACCTGAATATAGACTAGAGACTGTAAAATTCCTAGAAAGAAACAAGGGAGATCTTTATGATCTTAGATTTGGTAATAATATCTCAGATATGATACCAAAAACATAAATAAAAAAGGGAAACAAAAATATAGATAGATAAAAGGGATTACATAAAAATCTAGTATTTTTTAACATCAAGTTTAAAACTTCTGTGCAACAAAGGAAAATCTCAAAAGAGTAAAGAATAGGGAAAGATATTTTCAGACTATATATGTTTATCTAATAAGAGGTTAATATTCAGGATAATTAGTAATGATTATTAAAAGCTGTTATGAGTATTTGAATGCAAGTTTTGTGTAGACATGTTTTCATTTCTCTTCGATACAAATGTAGGAGGAGAATTGCTAAGTCATGTCATGACTGCATGTTGAAATTTTATAAGACATTTTGAAACATTTCCAAATTAGCTATACAATTTTACATTTCTACTAGCAATATGCAATACATATATATAATTTCAATTTAGAAAACTCATCCACAAAATTCTGTTTCTGTAGGTCTGCTTCCAGTACTGAAACCTACATTAATCTGAGAGTTCTCCTTGAAAAAAAAATAAAGGGGGGAAAAAGAGTTTAACCAGGAAGTTTTCCTATGCTATTATCAAGGCTGCTTTGTGTCTTAAAATTTAATAATAAACCCCATTTTGTAACTTTTAAAAACTTATGAACCTGTACTCTTACCTGCTATTATATTTGTGAGCAGTACTGTGAGAAAGGAGGCTAAAAAGTAAGAGAATAATGTAGAAAATGAAACCCATATGAAAAGACAGTGTCCTGTGGGTGATCCAATTTAGCTACCAAGTCATAAAATTTCACAATACACAAGATTAAGAACACAAAGGAAAATAAAAAGGTTGTGGTTATAATTTATCTCTATCCAGGGGAGATCTGTACAGTATACATGTACAAATGAATAAATGTATAAATGTACAGTATACATGTACAGATGAATAAAGTATCCAGTGAATTCGGAAAGAACCATAAAACTATTGCTTTCCTATAGCTTATTATTCCAATTAGAACTTCAAAAATATACTCCTAGAACAGAAATGATTTCAGGAAAAGAAAAGTTTGCAATCTTTGCTGTATCAATATTGTCATAGTGGGACTTAATTTGTTTTAAACTGTAAAATGTACATAATTTTGTGTTGCTGTGAGGATAAGAAATACTGTATGTGAAGTACCTACAATGTTTAATAAAGAAAGTAGGTCTTTAGTACAGAATCAAATTTTAGTATATTTTAATTTGTCTATACTTTTCTTTTTAGAGGATAAAGTAAGTATTATGATAAAGTCAGAGTATTCATTTAAATACCAGTTTCTGTAAGGCAATTATTCAGAGACAGTTTTGTCATTCATTTTCTACTATTTCATAAAATCTTCCATGGAGAATGTGAATTTCAAAATTGGGAGTAAATGGGAAGTATTAATAATTATTTCAATTTCCCCCAGTCATTCAATTCCATTTAGACTTGAAAAGTAGTATACAAAGGAGAAGAAAGAATCTCAAACTGGCCATTTTCATTTCTGTTTAGTAACTATATAAAAAGTTTTGACAAATGAAGAATTAAAACGCATCATTATATTGCTGAAAGTAGGTCTTTCACAAATGAGTTTGAAGGGGCGTGGGATCAAAAGGAAAGAAGTTCTTTAATTTTGTTTTCAATCACTTTTAAGTTTCATCTTGATATGCTTTATCTCTTTGTAGATTCTTTTTGCAGTAAAAACAACACCTGGTGCCACTCAAATTCTTGCCAAAACAATTCTACATGCAAGGGTTTTTCACAAGACAGCAAATGCCACTGTTCAGACACAGCCAATAATTTGGACAAAGACTGTGACAACATGACAGATCCCTGCTCCTCCAGTCCTTGCCAAGGAATTGCCACTTGTGTAAACACCGCAGGAGAAAGCGGCTTTCAGTGCCACTGTCCTCCCGGGTATAGTGGGAGGACTTGTGAAACTGCCATTGGCTCGTGTGGTGTGGACTCATGCCAGCATGGCGGTGCTTGCCATCGCGACCCAGTTCACCCAGTCTGCATCTGCCCTGCTGGATATGGAGGAAGATTCTGTGAGATAGATCACAATGAATGTGCCTCCAGCCCTTGCCACAACGGGGCTGTGTGTCAGGATGGAATCAATGGCTACTTCTGCTTCTGTGTCCCAGGATATCAAGGGAGGCACTGTGACTTGGAAGTAGATGAGTGTGTTTCGGATCCCTGCAAGAATGAGGCTACCTGCCTCAATGAGATAGGAAGATACACTTGTATCTGTCCACGAGATTATTCCGGTGAGTATTACATCTGAATCCCATCTGATTTAATTATCTTTGTCTTCTTTTAGTATTGCAAAAGCAGAAGTGATATTTTGTGTCCTGTTCATTTATAAAAAAAGCCCAAGTTCGCGACAGGCATTTATCACTATGCAGAAGCCTTGCTAAACTTTTTTTTTTTTCCTCTTTTTGAGGCAGGGTCTTGCTATGCAGTTCAGGCTGGCCTTGAGCTCACTTTGTAGCCCAGGCTGGTCTCGAACTCTCAATGATCCTCCTGCCTCAGCCTCCTGAGTTCTGGGATTACAGATGTGCACCACCACACCCAGTCTGGCTTGCTAAATTATTAAAAATCCACTGAACTCTAGGTGGTTGTGTACTGTGACCATTACTGTTTCAGTTAAAGCTCTGCATCACTTGGAATCTAGATTCAGGTGTTTAAAGGCTAAATAGTATTCTCCTGTATATATTTTCTACATTTAAAAGAATCTACTCCTCAGCTGATGGACACCCAGGTTGTTTCCATATCTTGCCTATTGTGAATAGTGCTGCAACAAACACAGAAGCACAGATGTCTCTTTGCCATGCTGATTTCTTTTAATTTAAATATGTACTCATAGGTAAGATCACTGGATCACATGGTAATTCAATTTTTAGTTTTTAGAAACCTCCATACTATTTTCCAAAACACTAACTTACAATGTCACAACAGTATACAAGGGTTCTCTTGTCCTCAGTCCTCTCCAATGCTTATTATCATTCAACTTTCTAATAATAGCTGCTCTAACACATGTAAAGTGTAAAGTGGTATCTTGTTGGGGCTTTAATTTTTATTTCTCTGATGGTTAGAAATGATGAAGATGTTTTCTTATATCTGTTGGCCATTTGGGTTCTGTCATTTGCAATAACATCGATGAAGCTAGAGGACATTATGCTAAGTGAAATAAGTCGGGCACAGAGAGGCAGATATCATGATATCTCACTTAGATGTAGAATCTGAAAAGCTTGATGGGTAGAAACAGAGTAGAATGACGGTTACCGGAGGCTGTGAGTTTGGGGGGATTGAACAGGAAAAGAAGAGATGTTGCTCAATGGACATAAGGTTGCAGCTGATAGGAGAAATAAGTCTTGGTGTTCTATTGCATGGTGACTGCAGGTTATCAAGATGCACATTCCAAAATACGTATGAGAAGACTTGAAATACTCCTGGCACAAATGAATGATAAATACTTGAGTTGGTGGATATGGTACCCAACTTGATGGGATCTTGCACAAAGGCCACGCATTTCAAAACCACACAGTGTACCTCTTAAATACATACAATTATCTTTAATTGAAGATAAAATAAAACTTAAAACAACACCATCTACAACTTGTATTCAGTGCAGAACTAGCAGCCTTCTTTTCCCAGGTCCAGACAATTCAGATTTCCTTAGCAGTTCATATTTTTTTCATCCTAGCTCAGGTTTGCCCTGTAAGGCTCAAAGTTGACATTGCAGCCTGCTTTGAAGGCCTGCTACAAGTTGGTGACTTTCCAGTGCTCAAGTGTGAGCAACAGGTCAGTGATAGCAAGTCAGTTCTTATTCCACTTCTTGCAGAAAGAAAGAAATTAGGTCATGTTTATGCATTTTTTCAAATTTTTCTGTTGATACAATTTTATCTGAATAATAATGAGTTGTCAATGCATTTGCAGATTGTGTATTGTCTCATTAGCAGGTACATTGAATCTATCCTCTCTGGCTTCTGGAATCACAGTTATTCATTTAGGTCAATTCTTCATGAATTCCTTTGTTGCTTTGCCTTTTGATTTTGTCCTAGTTACTTCTCTCATCACTGAGACACAATACCTGACATGCACAATTTAAAGAAGGAAAGGTTGGTTTCAGCACCCAGTTTGTAGATGTTTCTGTCCATTCTTGGCTGGCTTCAAGGTAGGGCAGCGGAGAGAGATGGGGAAGTAGGAGGGAGACACACCCTTCTAGGCTCTGCCCCCAGTGACCTTCTCCTCTGACCAGGCTTCACCTCCCAAACTCACGTTTAGCTTCTAACCCACTAGGAGTATCACGCTCCCATGATCCTATCCCATGCCCATATCCCACTGTCGTGAGCCCAGGAGGCTTGTGGGGGCATCTAGATATAAACCATAAGGGCTTTCCATCTGTTTGTAAGGGTACAACTCACACCATCTGTACTTCCTCACGTTCCTCATTCTAACTCCTGCTCATCTCTTTCCTGCCCTTCCTTTGCTCCTATCTCTGAGACAGCATTCACATTCTAATACCACTTTTTCTCTTGGCTCTTGCCACTTCTGTGGCGGCGTGGCATTTGGCTTCCAACTTTCCTTCTTCTCTCAACTCTTTCATACTTCTTCATTTTGTCATTTTTTCCCCCAAACTATGCTAAGCAATCTAATGTCTTGGAAAATATTCCCCTTCAGCATTTGCACCAGAACCCCAGAATCATTGTGGCAATATCACACATTCTGCAAATATTTCTGCTACAAAATATGCTGTGGCACAAAATTTGCTCAGTCCTCACCCGTAGCTAATAATCTTCACAATTGGCTGCTTTGATATCAAAGGTGTCTTCCGAAGGAGTTCATCCCCTCTGTTCCCAGGGCCGTGACGAAGCCCCTCTTCACCTCTGGCGTGCAGTAGCACAGACTCTCATTCCCTAGTCAAGCCCTGCCCTTCTCTAAATTGTCTGTCTTCGATATAATCCTTTTAAAACAGATCTTTGCAAACCTTTCTGGAGAGTCCTACGAGGATCCACTACATAGAAAATCACTTTAGCGTCTCATGGAAAGCTTTTTACGGTTAGCCCTTGACACTAGTCACATCTCTCCACACCATTCTGCGAAAGCTTCTATATCCTCAAATCATTCACGTTTTACTCAAGTGGCTCCCCCGCTAGAATATCCTTTCCCACTTCAGAGTGTCAAGTTCTCCTGTATTTTTAAGACCTAGTTCAAATGTCACCTCGTTCAAGAAGCACTTCTAGATTTCCTCTCAGCTGGAACAATACTTCCTCAGTGCTTCAGTAATTACAGCTATTACTTCCACCCTTGTTTGCATATCTGCTAAAGAACTTTCTGTATTCTGTTCTGTTTTACAGATATCTATGTTCCTGTCTTCCCTAACTAAAATGCTACTTTTTAAAAGACAAAAGTCATGCCTTATATTTATTTTTTAACTCACTGATATTTTGAGCATCTGTTGCATCTGCTTGTAAAGCACATATACATGTAAGTCCCCATTTTTATAACACGCTATCATGTCCATTTCATTTTGTTAGCATTACGGCAATTGAATATCAATGCTGAAAATATTTGAATAAAATCAATAATCTTCATGGAGTTAGTTTCATATTGCTCTTGTTTATGACCGTTATAGCTTTTATTTTTTTTATTTTTTTATTTTTTTATTTTTTGGTTTTT